CTTGGGGGGGGGGAAGGGGGGCGCTGGGCTCTGCACCCAATTAAAAAATGAGTTTCGGGACTGAAAATAAAGCATTAATATTGGGTGGCGATTCCTTTTTTGCTTTACCGGTCTTTAATTTTTCTTTGGGGGGGGGGAAGGGGGGGTACTGCCAATTGTGCCGTATAGCATGTATCTGACTCGGACGCTTCAAAATGCAGCAGAGCTGATGTGTAACGAAGCCTGATCACGGGAAGTAAAGACACAGGTTAAGGGCTTTTCATGAGCATGTGACCGGCACTGTATTCATAAACGAGCTTTCGTTTGAGTGCCATGCTGAGGGGACCCATGGAGAGCAGGCTGTGTAACGGACACCAAGCTTAACAGGATGCACAGTGAGGGCCGCAGCTGGAGAGCGCATGAAACACCGGGCCGGCAAGAAAGAGCCGTGCGAACAGTATACAGACTATCGACGCAAACGGTCAGAAACGATTCCATAACAAATAGAAGCAAAACAAAGTGTAAAACATTATTAGAAACGTGTTTGGTGGGACAGGCTTTGAGCAACTTGATACATATATAATGTTACATTTAGTTCCAGTAACTTTTGTTTAAAGAGAGAAAGGGATGAGAAACCAGATCGCGGTTTTGTTTCGACAGGAAGGCATGCAGACGGACGCGCATGTCTCGCTGCAGACGGACGCGCATGTCTCGCTGCAGACGGACGCGCATGTCTCGCTGCCAAGTATGGTCTGGTGAAAAGGGCCGGCCCCCCCTCCCAGTGTCCATCTCCCCTGGCTGGGGCTCCGTGCTAATTGACAGACCACAGGCTGTGTTTTCCGCTCTGCCCCTTACCCTGTAATTGGCCAGGGGGGGACACAGGATATGTAGATGGGGGGCGTGCATATACTGACACCCCCCCCCCCACCCCATGTGTGACACTCAGACAATCTACCTGCAGCCAAACATACTGACCGGAGTTAGAGAGCAAGAATGTACCCCTTCTCTTCAGCTCTGGCTGTGATGACCTGCACCGCGCAGTGCGCTATATTACAGTTATTAAATTACAGCATTAAAATCAGTCCGAAATGAAACTCTGGCAGCCAAAAATAAAAATTCTGAATGAAACCCATAGTGAAGCAGTTTAGAATGCAAGCCTGTCATAGCGACAGAACTAGAGTAAAACCCAGAAACCGTGAGCATAACCAAATTCAGCTTCCTTAGATGAACACAAATGGAAGAAAATGAAAACTTTGTTTAAAATGCAAATAATCCCCCCCACACAGCTACATCTACATAAAATATTTCGTAAGACCC